TCCTCCTCCTGGTCGTCCTCCTCCTCCTGCTCGTCCTCCTCCTCCTCCTGCTCGTCCTTCTTCTCCTGCTCCTCCTGCTCCTCGTCCTGCTCCTGCTCGTCCTCGTCCTCCTGGTCTTGCTCGTTCTCCTCCTCGTCGTGCTCTTGCCCCTGCTGAAAATGTGGCCCAGGAATGGGAGTTCTGGGAAGTCGAAGAGCACGAAGTTGCCTACAGTTGGCTACGGGCATTCAAAATGTGGCCCGGGAATGGAGTTCTGGGAACTCGAAGAGCACGAAGTGGCCTACAGTTGGCTTCGGGCATTCAAAATGTGGCCCGGGAATGGAGTTCTGGGAACTCGAAGAGCACGAAGTGGCCTACAGTTGGCTCCGGGCATCCAAAATGTGGCCCGGGAATGGAGTTCTGGAAACTCGAAGACCACGAAGTGGCCTACAGTTGGCTCCGGGCATCCAAAATGTGGCCCGGGAATGGAATTCTGGGAACTCGAAGAGCACGACGTGTGTGACTGTTGCATCCGGCCCTCCAGAATGTGGCCCGGGAATGGCGTTCTGGGAACTCGAAGAGCACGAAGTGTGTGACTGTTGCATCCGGCCCTCCAGAATGTGGCCCTGGAATGGAGTTCTGGGAACTCGAAGAGCACGAAGTGTGTGACTGTTGGTTGAAAAAAACGAGCCCGTCACCCTGCCGGCCCGGCAACATCCCAACCCTGGCCCGGACCCCCCTGTGGATGTCGTGAGCTCTTTTGAAGAACACTGAACCTATCATCTTCGCTTGTTAGGTAACAAGCGTTTTCGCTCGGAGACTCCTCAAAATTATCCCGGCAAAGCAACCTAACAGCGATGTGTAGAAGCATATCTGAAAGCATTCCCCTTAGATTCAGATGAAAATCCAGTTGTAGAATTCTGCTGATCTCGCAGTCGTAGTCGCATTCGCGATGACAGTCGCAGCGGCAACGGCAGTCGCAGTCACAGCCTCAGCCTCAGCCTGCCTCCTCCTCCTCCTCCTCTTCTCCTGCTCCTCCTCCTCCTCCTCCTCCTCCTCCTCTCCCTCCTGCTCGTCCTCGTTCTCGTCCTCCTCGTCTTGCTCGTCCTCCTCCTCCTGGTGCTCTCTCCTCCTCCTCCTCCTCCTCCTCCTCCTCCTCCTCCTCCTCCTCCTCCTCCTCGGTGGTCCTCGTTCTCCTCCTCCTGGTGCTCTCCCCCCCCCTCCTCCTCCTCGTCCTCCTCCTCCTCCTCCTCCTCGTCCTCCTCCTCCTCTTCCTCCTCCTCCTCCTCCTCCTCCTCCTCCTCCTGGTAGTCCTCCCCCTCCCCTCCTCCTCCTCCTCCTCCTCTTCCTGGTCGTCCTCGTTCTCGTCCTCCTCGTCTTGCTCGTCCTCCTCCTCCTGGTGTTCTCTCCTCCTCCTCCTCCTCCTCCTCCTCCTCCTCCTCCTCCTCCTCCTCCTCCTCCTCCTCCTCCTCCTCCTGGTACTCCTCCCCCTCCCCTCCTCCTCCTCCTCCTCCTCCTCTTCCTGGTCGTCCTCCTCCTCCTGGTCGTCCTCCTCCTCCTCCTGCTCGTCCTTCTTCTCCTGCTCCTCCTGCTCCTCGTCCTGCTCCTGCTCGTCCTCGTCCTCCTGGTCTTGCTCGTCCTCCTCCTCGTCGTGCTCTTGCCCCTGCTGAAAATGTGGCCCAGGAATGGGAGTTCTGGGAAGTCGAAGAGCACGAAGTTGCCTACAGTTGGCTACGGGCATTCAAAATGTGGCCCGGGAATGGAGTTCTGGGAACTCGAAGAGCACGAAGTGGCCTACAGTTGGCTCCGGGCATTCAAAATGTGGCCCGGGAATGGAGTTCTGGGAACTCGAAGAGCACGAAGTGGCCTACAGTTGGCTCCGGGCATCCAAAATGTGGCCCGGGAATGGAGTTCTGGGAACTCGAAGAGCACGAAGTGTGTGACTGTTGCATCCGGTTATTCTAAATGTGGCCCGGGAATGGCGTTCTGGGATGTCGATGAGCACGAAGTGTGTGACTGTTGCATCCGGTTATTCAGAATGTGGCCCGGGAATGGCGTTCTGGGATCTCGAAGAGCACTTTGTGTGTGACTGTTGCATCCGGGTATTCAGAATGTGGCCTGGGAATGGAGTTCTGGGAAGTCGAAGAGCACGAAGTGTGTGACTGTTGGTGAAAAACGAGCCCGGCACCCTGCCGCCCGGCAACTCCCCAACACCTGCCCGGACCCCCCTGTGGAGTGATCTGTGAGCTCTTTTGAGTCAACTAGAAACCTATCAGTCTTCGCTGTTAGGTAATTTAATTCGCCGGCCCACCTCGACCTTTTTTATCGCAAAACAAATTCGCCGGCCCACCTCAGGTAGCCGGCCCACCTCGACCTTTTTTATCGCAAAACAAATTCGCCGGCCCACCTCAAGTCGAAACCGGGGGTAAGCTATCTAAAAGAGAACCCTGGGCCTCTGCCCCTTCCGGGAAAAAAACACTGAGGTGTACCTTGCCGTGCTCTCTCCCCTGTCCCCTCTAGCCGACCTCCTACTCCTCGACCCGCCTCTTCACCGTTGCTGCTATCAGGGTGCTTCGCTGGGGTCATCAATCGCGGCAGGCTCAACAGTCGGCCAGCACAGCTTGTGTGTTCAGACATTGCAAGAGACGGAAATGATCGCAGAACTTCCCCAAACTGGGCACCGGGGCCTTCTCGCCCACCAGCGGGTTGCAGGGCACGCTCTCCACCAGCGCACCTGGCGCGCGCGCTCGCGCGCTCTCACAGGTGGGGGGGGGCTGTGCAAGGGGCCAGGTGGCCCGTCGACCAGGAGGGAGCAACAACAGGAGGGAGGAAGGAGGCCTCGTGTCTGGAGGAAGGAAAAAAACATAAACCAGACATGAGGTCATGAGACGACGGCGCATCTGAAGATGCACGTAGATTATTCGAAGGGCGAGAGATCAACATCTACACGGGCAGCCGCCACCATGCCTTCAGCACGAAGTGGAGCGCCTCAAGGCTCATGCAGCCCTGAGAGGGTTCTTCAAGTCCCAGACCCGGGCTTCCCGGGTCCTCCTTTATTTTTTCGCGCGGGCCTCCGGGACGGCAACCCCTGCTCTGACTCGTTCACGGGGCTCTGGATCACGATCGTTCCCGTACGTGTCTCGATCGCACCGAGATCGGATCGAAGTGGGCCCCAGGGGCCGGCGCCTTGGCAGAAGGCGCCGTCGCCGCTGCCGTATGCCTTGACCCGCCGCGACCGCTCGCGCATGCCTCGGCTTTCGGCGGTGGCGCGGGTTCGGTGGGCGGGAATCACACGGAGGAGTGGCAGGGTGGAGATGAAGAAGTTATCATCCTCCTCCTACTGCTCTCCTCCTCCTCCTCCTGCTCATCCTGGTTCTCCTCCTCCTCCTTCTGCTCCTCCTCCTCCTGCTCCTCCTCCTCCTCCTCCTCTTCATCTCCCTCTTCGTTTTCCTCCTCCTTTGAGGCGTTATTTTATTTCTGAGCTGTCGTATTTGCGACTCGTTGCTTGCACGTTCTATACTGCATCATGCGTCTTCCTCCATCTCCTCCTCCTCCTCCTTCTCCTCCTGCTCATCATCAGCATAATCGGCATCACCAGCATCACCATCAGCATCAGCATCAGCATCATCAGCATCAGCATCAGCGTCAGCATCATCATCGTCATCATTTTCAGCAGCATCAGCAGCATCATCAGCATCAGCATCCTCAACATCATCATCAGCATCATCAGCATCAGCAACATCAGCATCGACAGCAGCAGCAGCATCGTCACAAGCAGGACCATTGTCACAACTGACATCTCCGAGACAGATCCCATCACGGCAGCATCAACCTCATCATCAGCAGCAATAGCCGATTCATCATCAGCAGCCCCAGCCTTCTCTACTCCCTCCTCCTCCTCTTCCTCCACCACCTTCTCCTCCTCCTCCTCCTCATACTCCTCATTGTTCTCCTCATGAGCCTTCATTAGCTTCGCTCCCCACTCCCTATGTCTCCCTCATCTCGCTCCTGATCGGCGCGACCATTTCCTCGCCTCGTCTCCTGTCGCCTCCTCCTCCTTCAGCTCCTCGTGCTCCTGCTGCGCGTCCCCATCCTCCTTTTGCTCCTCCTCCTCCTGATCCCCGCTCCCTCCTCACCCCTCCTTCCCCTCCATCGTCTCCTCCTCCTCCTCCTCCTCCTCGTCCTCATCCTCCCTGTCCTCATCAGCAGCATTAGCATCATCAGAATCATCAGCAACATCAGCATCATCACCATTACCAGCATCGTCATCATCAGCATCATCATCGTCATCAGCATCATCATCATGAACAGCATCACCACTGATATCTCCAAATCAGAGCCACATCGCAGGCATCAAAAGCATAAGCAACAGCAACAGCCTGATCATCATGATCAACGGCCACAGTCTCATGCACTCCGAACTCATCCGTTTCCTTACTGTTCTCCTCATAAGCCTTCCTCTCCTGCCTTCTGCACATCCTCCTCATCCTCTTCCTCGTCCTCCGCCTCAGCCGTCTCCTCCTACTCCTCACACGTCTCCCCCCCTTCCTCCTCCTCCTCCTCCTCATCATCATCATCATAAGCATCATCATCAAAATCTTCCTCCTCGTTTTCATCACGAATATGCCTCCCCTGTCTCTCCCCATTCTGCCTCATTCCTCCCTCCTCTCGCGGCACAGCATCATGCCCCTATGTCTATACTCCGCCTCTTCCTCCTCCTTCTCCTCATCATCCACCTCCACGTCCCCCTCAACCTCCATCTACCCATCCTCCTCCTGCTCTACCTCCTCGCTCCTCCTTCCCACTCGTCTGTATCGATCATCATCTTTCTCCGTCTCGTGCTCCCCCACTCCTCCATCATCATCCGCATCAGCTGACTCATCGTCGTCAACAGCCGCATCAGCATTAGCATCAGCATCAGCATCAGCAGCAGCATCAACGGCATCATCACCGTCACGATCAGCATAATCATCATCATCATCATCATCATCATCATCATCATCATCATCATCATCATCATCATCATCATCATCATCATCATCACCATCCTCATCCTCGTCATCACCATCATCATCAGCATCAGCATCATGATCGGCATCGTCATCATCATCATAATCAACATCATCAACATCGCCATCATCATCATCATCATCCTCCGCAACAACATCATCATCGGCCGCATCACCACCACCACCGTCATCAGCATGAGGATCCGCATGAGCAGCAACATCACCAGCCTCACCATCATCACCATCATCAGCATCAGCAGCAACAGCCTCATCATCCTCAGCGTCATCATCCTCATCAGCATCATCATTAGTATCAGCATCATCATCAGCAGCATCCGCGTCAGCATCATCATCAGCATCATCAGGATCAACATCAGCACCATCATCACCGTCTCCTCAGCATCATCACTATCATCAGCAACAGCAGCAGCAGCATCAGCATCAGCAGCATCACCATCAGCAGCTGCAGCATGTTCACCAGCATCATCACCAGCATCATCATCTGCGTCGTCCTCATCAGCATCGCTGTCGTCAGCATCATCATCATCATCATCATCATCGTCAGCATTATCATCATCGACATTATCATCATCATCCTCATCGTCATCATCAGCATCATCATCATTGCCATCATCAGCATCAGCATTCTCAGCACCAGCGGCATTAGCATCAGCACCTGAGCATAAACGATGTCGGTGCCGCCACCACCGCCATCAGCATGTTCATCATATTACACAACATCATCACCAGCAGCATCGTCACCGTCAGCATCACCACCAGCATCAACATCATCAGTGTCGGCATCGTCATCGCCACCATCATAGTCACTAATCAAAACCAACATCACCAGCACCAGCATCATCACCAGCATCATCAGCATCATCATCATGATCAGCATCACCATCACAATCACCATCGCCACCACCATCATGATCATCATCATCAGCAGCAGCGTCAGCAGGACCACCAGCAGCACCATCAGCTTCAGCACCAGTAGTGGCATCAGTACCAGTAGACGTAGCAATACCATCAGTACAAACATCACCATCAAAATCAGCATGATCAGCAGCAGCACCAATAGCAGCATGATCATAAGAATCATCAATACCATCAGCATCCGCGCCAGCATCAGCATCAGCATCAGCATAAGCATCCTCATCGGCATCCGCATCCGCATCAGCACCGTCATCGATATCATCAACAACACCATCATCATCAGCATGAACAGCATCATCAGCATCATCGTCAGCATCAGCAGCAGCATCAGCACCATAGGCATACTCAGCATCACCGCTATCATAACCAATCACCAGAATCATCATCCTCAGCATCATTATCCTCAGCATCAGCAGCATCAACCCCGCCCTCACCCTCTTCGTCCGCCCTCCCGTCCTCGTTCTCCTCCTCCTCCCTCCAACAACTTGTCCCCCTCCTCCTCCTCTTACTCCTCCTCATAACTTCCTCCTCCTCCTGGTCATCCTTCTCCTCCTCATCCAGATCATCTGTATCATCAGCAGCAGCAGCAGCAGAAGCGTCATCACCACCACCAGCATCATCAGCAGAATCAGCATCAGCAGCAGCAGCATCAGCAGCAGCAGCGGCAACATAATCATCATCAGCAGCAGCGGTATCAGCAGCATCATCATCAGCATCATGTTCAGCATCATCATCAGCATCGCCATCATCAGCATCATCAGCATCATCAGCAGCAGCAGAAACAGCATCGTCGTCAGCACCATCATCATCACCACCATCATCATCAGCATCATCACCATCATCAGCAGCAGCCTCATCATCAGCATGATCATCATCAGCATCAGCATCATTATCATCAGCAGCAGTTGCAGCAGCAGGATCGTCGCCAGCATCAACAGCGTTAACACCATCCTCACATCATCACTCACCATCAGCAGTATCCACATCGTCATCATCATAATGATCAGCATCGTCATCAGCATCATCAACATCATCATCGTCATCACATCATCCGCACCCTCATCCTCCATCTCACACCATCCGCACTCATATCTTCATCTTCATCCCCATACTCATCCACACAATCATCAACATCAACATCACCATCACCAGCAACACCACCACCATTTCCACCGGCACCAGCACCATCACCACCGTCAACATCAGCAGCATCATCATCATCCCGCCTCCCTCCTCCTCTCATCCCTCCTCCTTTTCATGCTCTCCGAATCGTCCTTTCCAGCAGCAATGAGGAAAGGAAGAGCTGTGCTGGGCCCTAACTCGCGGGAGAGAGATCAGAGGCAGGATGGGAGGGAAGAGAAGGGAAGAGAAGGGGAGAGGAGGAGGAGGAGGAAAGAACAGGCGAGGCGAGGAGAGAGGAGAGGCGAGGCGAGACGAAGAGAGGAGATGAGAGGAAAGGAGGAGAGAACGAAGAGACGCAGGAGAAAGAGGACCCCGTCCGGACCATATGAGCACCCTTAAGGCAAGAGGAAGAGGAAGAGGAAGAGGAGGAAGAGGAGGAAGAGGAGGAGCAAGAGGCAAAGGTAAAAGGGACGAGGGTCGCGGAGGAGGAGGAGGCGGAAGAGATACGAGCGGAGAGATGGCGGCGCCCGCAAAGAGGTAGACAACGCAAGGAGGCGGCCGTTTATGAGGGCGCAGGGGGGTCGTAGAAGACAAGGGCCCTATCATAGGACCCCCGAAGGCGAATCACGCCCATTAGAAACCTGTCGGGTTTCTAAGACGCCCCCCTGCACTATTGGAAAGCCCCGCCGCCTCCTCAGAAGCCAACCCCCATCGCGCCACCCGATCGGGCGCGGCCAAAGCAGGGGCAGCAGAGGGGAGGAAGGGGGGGAAGGGCAAGGGGATGATGATGATGCTGATGATGGTGATGATGCTGATGACGGAGATGATGATAATGATAACAATAATAATGATCATGATCATAAGAATGATGATGATGGTGATGATGATGATGATGATGATAACGATGGTGATAATGATGATGGCGATGCTGAGGAGGACGATGAGGATAAGACGAAGGAGGAGGAGGACGAGGACGAGGAGGGGAAGGAGGAGGCGCAGGAGGAGGGGTGAGAGGAGACGGGAGGGAAGAGGAAAAGGAGGAGGATAAGGCGAAGGTGGGGACGGAGGTGCAGGAGGGAGGAAGGCGGGAAAGAGGAAAAGACGGCGGGGGGAAGTAGAGGCAGGAGAACGAGTGTAACACAGGATGCATCAATCATGCCGCAGTGAACGTGCCGTCCAGTCCCAACTCCTATCCCCACCCCCCGCCCCTCAGGGCGGAGGCGGTCTAGATCGTTCTACGTCCATGACCACGTCTCCCCTTCGTGGAACGGCCCCCCCCTCTTATCCCCTCCTTTTTGGGTCGGGGCGAGCGCCCAGAATGACTTCAAGATGGCCCAAGTAACCCAAGATGGCCTCCAAGATAACACGAGACAATCCAAGAGAGCTCAAGATGGCCTCAAGCACGCCTCCAAGAAGGCTCCAAGACAGCCCCAAGACTGCTACAAGTGGCCAGGAGTCTCAAGGTGTATCATCAATAGGTGGTTTGCCATATCGCCTTTTCGGTTCCGATGGGCCGCCGAAGCCTCAAGAAGGCTACAAAATCGCGCAATCGAGCCCGCAAGGTGGCCCAGAAGAGCTCCAGCAGAGAGCGCCAAGAGACGGCAGAAGGCCCAGAAAGCGACCTGTCTGTCCCAACAGGGTGGCCCGCTTTCATCGGTTTCATCATGACAGCACCTGTTCGGTGCCTGCCCCGCGCCTGTGGCGGCCCTCCCCGCGGCTCCCGCAGGGGACCGCAGCGCGGTGTTCCCCCTTCGGCCCACTGGCCGCGCTCCTCCCTGCCTCAGCGCCCGGGCCAGTCTTGCCGCCCGCGCCTCCTCCCACGCCCTTTGCCCGCTGTCGCGGGCCACGCCGTCCCTTCCCTTGGGGTTCGGCTTACTCTGACTGTACGCGTGCACCCTTCCTCCTGTCGGGGAGACGTAAGACCCGGGTACGGGGGACTCGGAAATCCCCGACGAGGTCGTCAAAAAAATGACGAGGCCGAGCCTGCATTTTGACGAGGCCTCCTGCTGCAGACATCCCACGAAACTCCTCCTCGTCAAAATCCGAGGCGCGGTCGTCAAAAATCGATGGCGAACCCGAGTCCTGGCAAACCCGGGTCTTACGCTCCCCCGATCCTGCTGACCTGGTCAGACCCCCCCGCCGCCGCTGCAGCTGGCCCCCCCCTCGCTGCCGGCGACGGCCCGCCACGCGCTGGGACCCCGCCCGTCTGAGCGGCCCCGGCTCTCCTCTCCCTCCCTCTCCTCGGCCGTCGCCCTGTCGTCCTCCTTTTCCCCCTCCTGCACGGTAGGACAATTAGCGTAACGTCTTCGCTTTCATCGCCAGCGTAGTCCCTCTGCCTAGCCGCCGACGCAAAACGTGTTTTGGCATGCTCCAGGATCTTCAAACGGTTGCCTCCTAACCAGGCATTTCCTTCAAGTGGAAGTGGATCGCTGTATGGGGCCTAGAAAATGGGAGGTTGGAGGGAAGATGTATCCCAACATCGTTGAGGAGTCTTGGGTTTACACTGGTCCTCCTCTTCCTCCTCCTCCTCCTCCTCCTCCTCCTCCTCCTCCTCCTCCTCATCCTCATCCTCGTCCTCCTCCTCACACACGCACCCGTCTGAGGGCGAGGCCGTGGCAGGCGGAGTCGCACCCACTCCACGATGTCCACCTCGGAGCACAACGCGAAGGACGGCGGCGAGGGCGGCAGCGCGGTGAGGCCGCCGAGGAGAGTTTGCACAGACGAACCGCAGCTCATGGCATCCCCCTCTGGCGGGTCGGCCTCCGACTCTTCTGGACAAGGAGGCCGCCGATGCTCAAACAGCGGCAGGCCTGAGCTCGAAGATCGGGTCGCCCACGAATCTTCCCGAATCGACTCGAAATCGGTCGCTACGCTGGGCTCCCGAGGACCCCAGCTAACGCAGGCGAGCCGACCCGAATCAACTTGAAGCGGAATCGTGGGCCCAGCCGGCCAATCGCACCGCATCGGGTCGTAGGCGGCCCGGCCAGAACGCCGACGTCGCCGCTCGGTGTCTGACGTCCTTCCTTTGCACGCCCAGCCTGCCGCGATCGACCGCAAAGCGGATCGGGCTTCGTCCGCGCGGGACCATTCCCCTGGTCATGAACCAGAGGGCCACAGGCAAGGAACCACATGCGAACCCTGCCCCTGCAGGTCCGACGTCCAAAAAACTCGCCGGGGCTCAGAATCCGAAGCGGCTGCCTGCGGCGAAACGACCCCGGCGGGGGCCCAATGCCCCAGCGTGTTTGGACCAGCTGGGATAGGATCCGCAAGCGTGGAAGAACAAAAAGCGGCATAAGGTTAGCTAGCGTGGACCTCAAACTGGTTGTGTGTAGCCAGATGTTGTGCTATCTACGTGGTGCAATCTTTGTTGTGCAACCTACGTTGTGCAATCGCTATTGCGCAACCTCAGCTTTGCTGTAAAAGTGGTGCAAACTACGAGGTCCAATATCAGTGGGGCAATCCATGTGGTGCAGCCGATGTTGGGCAATAGATGATTCGAAATCTTGGTTACGCACTATATGTGGTGCGATCTACGAGGTGTGTGTGTATATATGTGTGTGTTACAAACGTGGTGCAATACACCTTTTACTATATATGATGTGCAATGTATGTGTTGCACGATCTGTGGCGCCGTGGACGTTGCGCACAACGTGTGTGTGGAGCAATATACGTGGTGCAATTTTCTACGAACAAGCCCTCAGACCGATTCGCCCCAGTTCGCTGCTAAGCGCGGTTGCGTGGCGAGTACATCAACGGCCACGCGCTGGCACGAGAGAAACGGCATGCTTAGCTTCCTCGTTTAGATGTCTCTGGAATTCCTTCACAGACCGGCAGCCAAACGCTCGCTGCGGAAGGTGATTCAAAACACGAACGATGCCGAAAATCGATCGTTGGAGAATCGCATGATGGCCTGGCTCAATGGGGTCTCTCAAAGCTCTGCTGTGGAAGCGCCGGTTTGCGGCGAAACCGTGCCGGTCGAGAGCCCCAGACGCCAGGGGGAACAAGGAGGAGAGAGCAGGAGGAGCACTGCCGCAAGAAATCTTACACAGAAGGCCAAGAATAGAAATGTCACGTCTCATTTTCAGGGAAGCCAAGTTGAATTCGCAGAACGCTTCCTCGTCTGTCAGAGACACAAAGTCAAGGAATTCAGTCTGGATGTCGTCAATCATCTTCAGGACCGCGTTTCTGGCGTGGAAGATCGCGCTGGTAGCACCTTCGATGGAAGAAAGCACGTGGCATTTGTAAAGGCGGACCATGTCCTTGGTGGGGTAGAAGCGGCCCGTCCGGAGCAGCGTTTTCAATCTCCAGGATGCCTCTTTGGACATCTTCTCGGCGACGTAACGCATGGAAAGCTGAAGATCGAACTCGACACCCAAAATCTTGAAGTTGTCCCCGTGCGGCCGGACCTTGTCCAAGATGTGTGTGCTCTCTTTCTCTGGCTCGAAAAGCAGTTGGTTGGCAGCCCCCCACGTGTGAAGCGAAGTCTGGCATGTGTGGCACGCTTGAAGAATATCTGCGTCGCGTGCCGTACCGCTGAACACCCTCCAACAAATCAAATCGTCTGTGAGAACATATTCCTCGAAACAGGTGGTCGTGAAACCGGTGGTACCGTGGATGTTGCGCACTATGTGTGTGGAGCAATATACGTGGTGCAACCAGGTCGTGCAATCTATGGTGTGCAATCCACTTTGAATGTCTTGAAGCTGTCCTCTCCACTGCTCGCGCAAACATCCCACCCACCCACCCGCAACTTGGTTTGCAAAACCTGTTAAGACCGACTACGACGACACCGACGACATCGACTAGGACGACACCGACGACGTCTCCGACGACTTCGACGACGACACCGACGCCGACGCCGACGACGACGAAGACGACGACGACGACGCCAACGAAGGCGACGACGAGGGAGGAGGAAGGACGACGACGGCGACAACGATGACAACGACGACAACGACGAGGGAGGAGGGAGGACGGCGACGGCGCGAACGACGACGAAGGAGGAAGGACAGCGACGCCGACGACGACAACGATGAGGGAGGAGGGAAGACGACGACGACAACGACGACGACGACGGCGACGAAGTAGGAGGGACGACGACGAGACGCCGACGACGGAAGACGACGACGACGTGGGAGGAGGAGGAAGGACGACCACGGCGACAACGACGACGGAAACGACCACGACGCCAAAGAGGACGACGACGAACACGAGAAAAGACAGAGGACGACGTAGGCGACGACGACGACGACGCGGGAAGAGGGAGGACGGCGACGACGACGACGACGACGACGCAAGAGCGCGCGCGCACGCTTTTGTTGAAAACCCGTGTTGCGAAACCTTGGGTTGTTGTAGGTCTTTTGGACACACTACTTTGAAATCCTTCCGAAACCGATGGGTTTTGAAGGTTTTTGGCATACGCGCGCGACGACGCGCGCGTCTGCATTTCGTCCCATTTGTTGCAGAGGATTCTCGCGACGGCACACGCGCAAGGGCGTTCGACAGATTTCGACACGCGCGCGCGCGAAGCCCGTTTGGTAGCATTTTGTGAAAACCTTGAAAAGCCTATGTTTTTTTAATAAGATTTCGCAAGAGCTCGCGCGGAAGCTTTTTTAGCAAATCAATGTTGCGAAGCCCTGTGGTTTTGTATGTGTTTTGGAGACTCGATTGCGAAATCCTTCCGCCACCGAAGGTTTCTGAAGGATTCCGGCATGCGCGCGCGACGACGCGCGCGCGTGCACTTCGTCCCATATATTGCAAGGGATTCGCGAAAAAGTGCTATGTTAGAACAAAAAATGTCACCGCATAGTGTCAGGGGGAGGGAAGCCGGCCTGCCTGGGATGGTATGATTCCATATTTAGGATGGACGAATGTACATAATCTATATATACGTATATATGAAATTATACTATCCCAGGGGGAAGCGTTAAGTCCGGGGGGGGTAGAGTCTATTCTCTTTCTAGAAAGGAAAATTGAAACGAGTTTACATATCCCGCGCTCTTGCAAACATCCCACCCACCCACCCGCAACGTCGTTTGCAAAACCCACGACGACGACGATGACGACGCCGACGACGACGATAACGACGACACCGACGACGACGACGTCAACGACGCCGACGACAACGACGACGACGACGACGAAGACGACGGCGGCGACGACGACGACGCCGACGTCGGCGACGACGAAGACGACGACGACGCCGACGCCGACGACGACGACGAAGACGACGACGACGTCGCCAACGAAGACGACGACGAGGGAGGAGGGAGGACGACGACGGCGACAACGACGACAACGATGACAACGACGAGGGAGGAGGGAGGACGGCGACGACGCGAGCGACGAAGAAGGAGAAAGGACGGCGACGCCGACGACGACAACGACGAGGGAGGAGGGAAGACGATGACGACGACGACGAGGACGACGACGACGACGACGACGACGACGGCGCGATAGGAGGGACGACGACGAGACGCCGACGACGGACGACGACGACGACGACGACGACGACGAGGGAGGAGGAGGAAGGACGACCACGGCGACAACAGCGACGGAAACGACCACGACGCCAAAGAGGACGAAGACGACGAACACGAGGAAAGACAGAGGACGACGTAGTCGACGACGACGACGACGACGACGACGCGGGAAGAGGGAGGCGGCGACGACGACGACGCAAGAGCGCGCGCGCACGCTTTTGTTGAAAATCCGTGTTGCGAAACCTTAGGTTTTTGTAAGTTTTTCGAACACACTATTTTGAAATCCTTCCGAAACCGATGGGTTTTGAAGGTTTTCGGAATTCGCGCGCGACGACGCGCGCGTCTGCACTTCGTCCCATTTGTTGCAGAGGATTCTCGCGACGGCACACGCGCAAGGGCGTTCGACAGATTTCGACACGCGCGCGCGCGAAGCCCGTTTGGCAGCATTTTGTGAAAATCTTGAAAAGCCTATGGATTTCTCAAAATTTCGCAAGAGCTCGCGCGGAAACTTCTTTAGCACATCAATGTTGCGCAACCATGTATTTTTGTGTGTGTTTTGGAGACTCGATTGCGAAATCCTTCCGGCACCGAAGGTTTTTGAAGGATTCCGGCATGCGCGCGCGACGACGCGCGCGTGTGCACTTCGTCTCATTTGTTGCAAGGGATTCGTGAAAAACTGCTATGTTATAACACCAAATGTCACCGCATAGTGTTTTTTGGAACAAAAAAACTGAAATTCAGGGGGGGGATACCGGTTGGTATTTGACATTGTGATTTCATATTTAGGATGGGAATGGTCAGAATCATACACGATTTACATATCCGAAAGGGGAGCCGATAACGCCGGGGGAGGGTAGATCCCATTCTGCTTTTAGAAAAGAGAATATACGCGGTGAAATGCCTGGTCAAAACATGTTACGCAATAGAAGATGAACAACATGCGTAGTGACATCTCTGTTATGTGATCTACGCTGTGCGCAAATTACGTGGTGCACTCTAAGTTGTGGAATCAATAGTGTGCAATCGATGTTGCGGTGTGCAGTATATGTTGCACCACGTAGTGCAATATATGTGGTTCAACCTACTGAAGTCTTGATCGGAAAGAATTGTTAACTCCACTGCTCGCGCAATCATCCGACCCACACACCCGCAACTTAATTTGCAAAACCCATGCGGGGGCGATTGCGATGATTGCTTGGCGCTGGCTGGCACTTCTCTGCGGCCGCGCTAGCGCGCGCAGGTCGCGCGCACACCGGCCAGCTAGTCTGGCGCGACGAACGCAGGGTGGCGTTGACCGCTGGGGGCTCCCAAACACGATTCGCAGGTAGCGCTGACGCGCGGGCGCGCCACTGCGAGTCGTTGACTCGGTCGGGCGCGGTATCACGGCGACGGCGACAACGGCAGACAGGATGATCGTAGTGGCGATGTTGCTGACGATGATGATACTGACGACGCAGGGACAATGACGGCGCCGATGCCAATCACGCCGATGACGATGATGGCGTCCCCGCGTCGATGATAAAGGTTCTGGGAGGATTTCGACATGCGCGCGCGGCCGACGCGCGCGTCCGTGCCTCCCACCACGCGCGCAAAGGTGTTCGAATGATTTCGACATGCGCGCGCAAGAGGCCAATTTGGTCGCATGTCATGGAAAATTGAAAAAAAAAAAAAAAAAAAAAAAAAAAAAAAAAAAAAAAAAAAAAAAAAAAAAAAAAAAAAAAAAAAAAAAAAAAAAAAAAAAAAAAAAAAACGATTTCTTAAGAGTCCAAGGGAACACGCGCATACTTGTGTTGAAACTGCATGTTGGAAAACCGAATCTTTTTTATATATGTGTTCGGGACACTCGACTTTGAAATACTTCCGAAAGAAAATGATTCAAAGATTTAGGCATGCGCGCTCGACGACGCGAGCGTGCGCCCTTCGTCCAAGTTCTTGCACGGAATTATCGACAACGGCTGATTCGTGTTAAACGAATGCGCGCATGTAGTGATATTCGACTGGGAGGAAAGGGGGTCGATCACCGGACTGAACGCGATGGTATGGGTTCATATTTCGGATGGACGCATGTGCAGAAACGTGTACGAAAACAATGCGGAAATGTGATCCGTGAACCCCAGGGAGGGGGGTAGATCCCAAATACTTGTTGTTGTTGATCCCCACTGACCACAAAGACGGGCTCGGTGCGCTCGACCTCACGGTAGATCCCGAATACTTCTTAAAAAGAGAATGGATGCGGTGTAATCTGTTTTGTGAGAAATATGTGGTCGCAATGTATGTGGTGCTGTATCTGCTGTGCGATATAGATTGTGCAGCCTGTGTTGTGCAGTCGATGTTGTGCAACTTATGTGGGGCGGCAACGGGTCGGCGATGGCGGCAACAGGCGCGGCGACCGACAGACGGGCCCGGACGACGGGCGGCGACAAGGCGGCGACGGCGCGACGACGGCAGCAACATAGCCGCCAGACCGACAGACAGGCTCAGACTATAGGCGGCGGAGGGGCGGCGACGGGGCGGCAACGGCGGCAACATAGCCGCCGCCAGCGACAGACAGGCCCAGACGACGGGCAGCGACGGGGCGGCGACGGCGGCAACGTAGCCGCCAGACCGACAGACAGGCCCAGCTCCCTAAGTGCAAGCACTGCTTGGAGAAACATGAACTTCCGAAGGGCCGCGCCGAGTTCTTGGATCTGCGCTTGACCCCCGCCCTTCGCGCGCGGAGCGCGCCAGAGGCGGCACTGGAGGCGCCGATCCAGGAAATCCGCGAGGAGCGTCGACAGCGTCTGCTTATTCCAGTTTGCACGATTCGAGAGCGCTCGCCAGGCTCGCGAGATCAGTCACAAAACAGACGGGGGATTTGTTTGGGGGATGGGGGTCAGAGGCGACGATAAGGGCGGAATAGCCCAGGGGAGAGCAATACATGCATCCAGGGGCGGCGACGATCTATGTCTTCGACAAGGCTCCCGGGCGAATACGCGTAATGCCCGCCCCTAGGATATTCGCCCTTGTCGTCGCCGCCGAGGTGGGGGGCGCGGGGCGCTTCGGCTTCGCCTCTGGGCACCTCGCAACGGCAGCACCGGAGCCCGCGGCCTCTGCTCGCCCAGCCCGCAGCGGGAAGGCGCTGCTGGAGGCAGGAATGATGGGCCTGTTTTTCACCACCACCACCAGAGCCTTGGGGAGCTCCGCGAGGATTTCTTTTTGATCGGCGCCGGGCGCCCTCCCTGGCGCTCGGAGCGCGCCAAGGGGCGGCGCTTGAGGCGCCGCCAGGAGATCCGAGCGCCGATGCAAGAGATCCGCGCGGATCTCCGACAGTTCCACGCGTGTGCATATTTTTCTCTTGTTCGAGGGATGCCTGGCTGAGTTGCGGGAAAGTCATGGGCCAGAGCGTGGTTCCAGGATGGCGAGAGCGCGGCACACGAGCAAGCTGCGAGGAGGTCTCGAGCGACAGCGTGATCCCTTGCAGCACGAAGTCTCGGGCGGAAGCCGCCGTTGTTGCTGCAGCCCACGGGCGAGCAGCTCGGTTGGACGGGAATTGTTTCTTTCCCTGCCCGAAAGTAGGGTGCGAGAGAGCCGAGAGGAACAACTCAACGAAAACATCACAACTTAGAGGGCAAAAAATCCACCCCGATAATAACCACCCCGACACGCGAAGCCGTTTAGCAAACGCGCCCAAAGGAGGAATCGAGCAGGGCAGGGCTGTTTAGTAAACGCCCAGGGCCTTTTTAATAAACGCCAAGTGTCTGGTCTGGTTTGTTGTTCCTCCCTTGACAACTGGCGCGAGTGAGGCTCACCCTCCTCATCCTTCTCGCTCGCCACGAGCACGCCAACATACAGCACCAGCGATGCAGTATGGGCCGACGGAATGAGCGAAGCAATGGAGTACCACTTGTTCAACGGTGACAGGTCAACAGTGATGTGAGGCTGGCTCGTTTACAGTTCTTCGCGTGACGCTCAACACTGGTGCCCCAGACCCTT